CAAATGCAAATTTTTTAAACCTTTCTTCAATCTTTATCAACATTGTAATTGGTTATTAGGAAGTCGAGAATCGCAAGTGAAAATAATTGAATACTAATTGGTATAATGCGAATTTTGAATAAAATATTACCATATTCTGATATCGTGAGCGCTTCGTCTGCCGGGTGACTCATGAGGCATTAAAATCCAAACTTATGATATACATAATATAAATGTAACTTTACTAAAGTAATATACTATTTTGAAGTAAATTTTTACTGGGGTGGGTACCTTGGTAGGTTAAATCGGCTAAATCGCGGTAGGGGTAGTTCAAATTGACTAAAATCGGTGTATCTAGCCGATACACCGATTTTAGTCATCAAATTTATTCAGTTAAGAGATACCTAAACTTTTACACTCATCGATCTTGATGCTTCACTCGCCAGAATAACGGGTGTCGTTTTTTTTTTTCGAAATTAAACGCATCTTTTCACTGCGACAGAAACGAACATTGTAAGTTGAAAAAAAAGTACAAATGTGTATTCATTAAATTTAAACTTTGTCCGAAGCACTTAAATGAATTACACACTCGTACATACGTTTAGTCACGATTCGTGATACGGATGCTACAAAGTCAAGAGAGGACTCGTTGACCGATAGACCTTAGCGACAGTGCAGAAACTTTACAGTCGCTGCACTTGACAATCAAATTTGCATAATATATTATTTTTAAGTAGGCTATTAAAGTTTAAATGAAAGCAAGGCTTTATTAACATTAAATATGCGATAAGTTTTTTTTTATTACTTAGATGTGTGGACGAGCTCACAGCCCACCTGGTGTTAAGTGGTTACTGGAGCCCATATACATCTACGACGTAAATGCGCCACCCACCTTAAGATATAAGTTCTAAGGTCTCAAGTATAGTTACAACGGCTTCAAACCGAATCACATTACTGCTTCACGGTAGAAATAGGCAGGGTGGTGGTACCTACCCGCGCGGACTCACAAGAGGTCCTACCACCAGTAATTATTACGCAAATTATAATCTTGCGGGTTTGATTTTAATTTCACGATGTCATTCCTTCATCGTGGAAACGGATACACCGGATACACCTATTTACAAATATTTGTCTTCAAATTTAATATCTTCTAGAAGTCTTTTTAACTTTTAACTACGTTTCTACCCTTCGTTCTGTTGCACGAAGGTTTACATGATTGATGCATATTGAGGGTTCTCCGCCACAAATTTCTACGAACAGTCAACAACAACTGTCCAATACTCTATGTATACCTGAGGCACAAATGATTCAGGAACGCGAACAAACAATGAGAGCATTCAATACTGAAGTTGTTGCGCGAATGAATTCATTATTTAATAAATCAATAAAGCGAATTGTCTTAGATAGACTAAAGCAAGCACGACAATTGTACGACTTGGCCTCAATCGCACCAGGATATCTTAATTGAAACAATAAGTCCCATCGCCCCGTCCTCGGCGTTGTAGCGTGTAAGATAATATATAGTCTTGTTCCTTACACATTTACACGGTTATTCTTTAATAAGTCGCCGTTTAAAGAGTTGCTCGGGTCATTGAAATTTTTAGCGTTCGAGAACACCTGACTTACATGCAACTTTTAGAATTTGATATAGTGATAAATCGTGTAGGTACTTGTTTGGATTTGAATGCTGGACGTCGAAAATACAGCGTGAAAGAGGAGTGCACGCGGCAGAGATGCGAATGTTAAGATGGATGTATGACAAGAATGGACAAGATAAGGAATGAGTATATCAGAGGAAGTGTGAAAGTAGCCCCAGTAATTGACACATTAAAGAGCGGACAGCTAGCGTGGTATGGACATGTGATGCATAGAGAAAAGATGCTATGTGACTAGGAGATGTAAGGAAATGGTATTGCATTGTTGGGGGGGAAGAGGACGACCGAAGAAGAAATGAATGGACTGTGTGAACGATATGAGAGAGAGAGGTGTGAGTGTTGTCATGATGGCTGATAGAAGAGAATGGAATAGAAAAGTTCGTTGTTCCGACCCCACCTAGTGGGATAAGGTGGAGACAAAGAAGAAGATAAAATGTGCACTTATTAAAGAGATTTCATCGCGAAAACTGAAGCACACTCTCCAATCAAGTAAAACTGAACACAAGATATGGTCAAACAGTCTATTATTATTCTCTATATGATTTGTGGCAATCACTTTGTATAGTGTGAATATTTTGTTGTTATTATATTTATTCGTGTCCAGTCTGCAGAACGTCATTATGGTTCGATTAAAATAATGTTTTGCGTCCTGGTCAAATTTTCTTAAGAACCTTTGGAAACATGTTGTCTATAAAAGGATTTCATGAATTTATAGTAACAGCTATTCAGCTATTCAGAAACATTGAAAAAGATACATCTAGAAAATGTTACACATTCATAATCCGTAGCCATAATCGTGTCCTAAATTACTAAATGTATATATGTATCGTACAAGAGTCACGTCAAGATGAATTGATAAATTGCTTCGAAACAAGTTAGTAACTCAGTTAGATTCCTAACTCAAAAAAGTTCCTATAATTTATTATCATGAAGGATAATGTTTTCATTCGACTTCATGTTACTTATAAAGTGTCATTAATATTCGAGGTTGCGCAGTAACTGCTATATTTTTTGTTTTTTTTTAAGCTTCAGTAGGTAAGTAATGTGAGGAGTTCCGTTTAAATATATGATATCAATACTGGGTTGCTATTCACCCAAAATTATCTATCTTGTACCCAACATTGTATCTCTACACTCCCAACGAAACTAACCGATTAATTGTTCGCATATTTGAACGACATTATAATATGCTAATACAACTAACACCTTTGTCGGAGTGGGCGGTGACATTCACTGGATAGTGTCAATGGGATTTAGTTGCTAAAAGCCAGCTAGGTAAGCAGCATATCTACTTAACTAGGTGATGTAAGTACAATAACTCTCATAGGACTACTTCAGATGCAGTTAGCTACTAAAATGCATTCGGGTCGGTGCACATGAATACTAAAAGGTCGCTTAGAACGTTTCTTAGAACTTGACTAACGTAATTTTATACTTTTAAATAGGTTCGGCGATCGACACGTCCTTTTCGTCCTTGCGAGTCTCAACCGTCTTTTTGGACTCCAATCAATAATTCGTACGTCTGCCCTTCGCTTTGTGTAAACGAACGCCGTCTGGCTTGAATAAACAGAACGTGGCTATGTCCAACTGGGAATTACGAAATTGATTTTCTTTTTTTTTTGAAGTTTTTTTTTATTGCTTAGACGAGTGGGCGATCTCACGGCCCACCTGGTGTTAAGTGGTTACTGGAGCCCATAGACATCTACAACGTATATGCGCCACCCACCTTGAGATTTAAGTTCTAGGATCTCAGTATAGTTACAACGGCTGCCTCGCCCTTCAAACCGAAACGCATTACTGTTTCACGGCTGAAATAAGCAAGGCGGTGGTACCCACCCGCGCGGACTCACAAGAGGTCCTACCATCAGTAAAAAGCTTTTGGTGTTTCGCCATCTCTCTGAGGTCGACCCTCGGTCAGCTTCCTTCTGTTCAAAAAAAATCCATAAAAATCTTTAGTATTGATATATATTTGATATAGATTGATAGAGATAGTATTAGATTTCCATGCATAAAATCACAACGTACATAAAATAAATGAGTGGTTATAATGTTTGTCTCAAGACCTCTTCAGTACGATCGGTCTATTTCTTTTGGCAAAAAAATTTATTATATATTTTTTTGTCCAATATTCAATATTTAGATCTTCTGGCGTCCATAACATTTCTTTATATAACCTTCAGTAAAATAATTATCTCACACTTATTAATCTACAAGCCATCGCGAAGATTCTATTTCGGTCGTAACTTATCAATCTGCAACTCCCGCGTGACATTAACAACGATGTCATCGCACTCACAAATCATATCCGTAAGATTTACATCCTCAACCGTGGTTATTGCTCGTAAATTAATTATATTTGAAGTTAAATGATCTTATTCATGTATCTTGGACGCACAGAGCTGAGCTCACGACTTGGGTCGTGTGAGTATCCAATCTAACTCGTCAGCGGCATGCACATTGTATTTACTTATTGTACTTACAATAAGTAAATACAATGATTATGTGCATCAAAAAATCGAACAGAAATAACTTTGAAACTCGTGCAGGAAGAGGGTATTTTGCGGAAACTAGTACAACACTGGCCAGACAATTGTTTCCAACATGTCCTATCAGTCTATTAAGTTATCTGTACGTGCCAGAGGATTGAGACTCGTGAAAAGGGAGATAAAGGACAATGTTGCGTTTTCGTTGAAATCGATGTAGGCTTTTGTCACAGTAGTGTGGCTTCCGTTGGAGATTGTACTTAAAAGAGCTAACTTTGTTGCCTCTGCTAAAAGCGCATACAAACTGACATGATGCCTAGTTTCGTGAAATCGACAACTTTGTTTCCTTAAACATTTTAGGACATAAATACCTACATTGTTGCTATTTCGGAGGTCTTTCCAGTCTCATCACGAAGGGGATATTTTTAAGATACTTAAAGGCAGATGAGCTTTTGACTCATTATCAAGCAATATCAAGCACAAACGATACCGAGCTTTATGAATTTTAAAGAATCGATTCATCTTCTACTGATTAAGAATCGCACTTGCGTACTTACTGGTGGTAGGACCTCTTGTGAGTCCGCGCGGGTGGGTACCACCACCCTATCTATTTCTGCCGTGAAGCAGTAATGCGTTTCGGTTTTAAGGGTGGGGCAGCCGTTGTAACTATACTTGAGACCTTAGAACTTATATCTCAAGGTGGGTGGCGCATTTACGTTGTGGATGACTATGGGCACCAGTAACCACTTTACACCAGGTGGGCTGTGAAATCGCCCACCCATCTAAGCAATAAAAAAAAACCTAAAATCTATGGCCAAACAATTTTCATTTGACTAAAAACAATTAAAAAAAAATTTTTTAACGTGTAATTCTTTGTCCACAGCACCACAAAAATGAATACGGGGCCGACTCCGCCGGAGTGCGCGCTCGCCGCCGAAATGTTCGACCATTTCTGCTCGGCGGGCACAATGAAACAGATCCTTGGCCTTCATCGGGAGATTTGCGCTACATTGAACCTCATACCTACTAGACTTCCGGACTTTTATCCTAAGCTAAAGGTAATTTATCTTTAGACTAACGACCCGCCCTCGCTTCGCTTCGGAAACTGTAATTTATTATTGATTTCTCCACTATTTGATGGATGTTATTATACATATAAACCTACCTCTTCAATCACTCTATCTATTAAAAAAAATCTCATCAAAATCCGTTGCGTAGTTTTAAAGATTTAAGCATACATAGAGACAGACAGATATAGGGACAGAGAAAGCGACTTTGTTTTATACTATGTAGTGATGACCAGTGGTGATTTGGTTTTTCGTTTACTTCCCCATTGTTGGGGCGGTTGTGCTAACTTAGTTTGTTGCTAATTTATGGACAAAGCTTGGTTGCGCTGTTCCGTAAACTTGCTGGCTTACTACAGCCAGTCGAAACATTAAAAAAAAAAGTGTGGCACTCGGGAACTGCCGCGGTAATGCGGTATTGCATAGCATTTTTTATCACCTTATGCAATTATAATTAGAAAATGATAATTTAATATTAAAACAATAATAAAACAAGACCACGCTATATTAAACATTAATAAAAGCAAAACATTAACTGTCCCCTTCACACTCATAAGCTAGACCGCGCGAGAGAGAGATGGGCAGACTTTTCATGATGCGCATGCAGTGTGACGTCACGCCACGCGCTTATTCACAAACACTACACAAGCGCAACGTGTCAATGTGTTGAACGCGAGCTACATGGTAGGCGGAGTGAGGAGTGTTAGGTTTTTTTCGTTACGGAATTTTATGATTCGATCGCCGCGCTCAAGGCCCGCGATAGAAACTATGCAATAGCTTAAAAATATAATAGTGTCGGTTCATTTGTTTAAACATCCATGTTATCAGTTTGGCGCGCCCGTACGACATGTGTAATACGGATGAATGCATCACTATGCGATTATATCGGGGTTCAAATGCTATGGCAGGTACCTTTTTTCACAGAACACGTGTTCACGAACGGCTTCTGATAGAACAACATTGTGTAGGGCTGAGCCCTTGCTTGACCAAGTGCTTAAATTATAAAATCAAAGTTTTTTTTTTTTTTTTAAACCGTCATTCCACAGAAACAGAAACGCAATAAGATGCTGAAATTAGTCGAATAATAAACAAAGAACGTAGCGAACTAATTTAATTGCAACTGTCGGATTCGTTTATTTTTTCCTGTTGTTTTTATCCATCCATTTCTTGTATCGTAGTTCATTTTTAGGTACGTCCCGAAAATTCACATGATTGACCGGGTCGGGCTATTTCAGTAGATGAAAGTAGATTTTAAGAAAAAAATTAATTCGTTTTATGTTTGAAAAATCGTGCTAAAACGTATACAATCAATAAGACGTCCTCGATGTGAATGATGCTCACGAGAAATCTACACGCTGTTTTGTATTCAAATATAGTCTTTTTTACTACACATTGATGGGAAATTTTATAATTCGAAGATGTGGCTTTCTAATCACGCGTGTAATATTGAAATGTTGGGCACGCGTCGTGTTTTCCTGTCAAGCGTCATAATAACGTAATTAGAAAGAAATAAAGAAAATAATACACAAAACTTGGAATTTAACGAAAGAATGACATTGAAACGGTTCGTGTGTTCAAAATCTTTAAAATAGTAATACAAGTAATTTACGATCCCGCGAAAGAGTCAGTTTAATGGAAGAGAGTGTGTCATTAAATAGGCCGCCGATACATTTTATTTTCGTATCTTATATAATATATTTTTAATAATATATTTTAAAGGAGCGTTCTATTCTCGGTGCGATATCGTGGTTTCGTATGTAAATTTAACTGGTGCGATAATATTAGTTTATTTTAAAACATTCGAAGGTGTTCGTTTAAACCACAAGATAGTGAACGAGATCATGGCCACCATGATCTTAAGTAGTTCCAAAATCTATGGTAACCGCTTCGCGTTACAAGTAGGCAATTTTGTGCCCCATCCGTTTGGACGTACAATACGAAAAATCATAGCCTCTCATGGCTACCAGCTTAGCTAGGAAAAAAAAACAAAAATATAAATAAAAAATTACACACTAATAAAATCTATAATTTAATGTCCTATTGTAGGAAAAGTCGTTGCAACATTAATCTTATTCGGAGAAAGTATAATGTGTTGTGTTGGTTTTGTTAGTTGACACTCTTGTATGGGTAAGCTGTTTGGCAGCTTTAATAACAATGTCACAAATGCCGTGAACACGTTAATACATTAATTAACACTGGAGTATTTATGAACAGACAGGACATGTCCCTCTTCAAACGAGGCTTGTGGAGAGTATTAAGCAGTAGACAGTAGCTTGGCTCTGCCCCTGGCATTGCTGAAGTCCTTGGGTGACGGTAACCACTCACCATCAGGTGGGTCGTACGCTCGTCTACCTCAAAAAAAATCGCTCAACACAAAAAAGTTCATAATAATTTAGAAAGCCTCGACGCTCAGTCCAGTGTTTTGTAATAGTTTCTATTCTTATACGTCCTGAGGGATCGAACAATGGTTTCGGTACGTGCCCTTCGGTCTTGCCCTTCAAATTCAATGGGAACAACAAAGGGCGGATAGGGCGTGTACTTATAGAGTATTCGAATTGTATTAAGTGTTTTTTTTTTGTGTGGCCGTTAATAGCGAATAAATTTAATTGTGCCACCAAATAATAGTCTTCTTCGCGTTATCATTTCGTATAGTTTGTGTTATTTGACGTGTTCAGAATGAATGATCAATAATATAATGTGATTAGCATTTTTAAACTAACTGACGTCGACGGTTCGCGTTCAATACTGACTCTTCCCAGAGAAGAATCATTTTTATGAGTGCTCGGTTTGTTGTCGATATAACGAATGATAAATATATTATGATAGTCCCTTTTCACACGTAAAAGAGTGAAGCGAGAATAAGCACGTGTTTGAACTTAAAACTTGCGGTCTCGCATGCTATTAATTTATTAATAGCTTACTGTATAGTGAAGCAGGCAGTAAAAACACAACCGTGGCCACTTAACGATGATGATGATTCAGTGTATGCAATGGTAACATGGTGCCAACCCACAGCCCACTGAGTTTCTCGCCAGATCTTCTCAGTGGGTCGTGTTTCCGATCCGGTGGTAGATTCTGCGAAGCACTGCTCTTGCTAGGGTCAGTGTTAGCAACACTTCCGGTTTGAGCCCCGTGAGCTCACCTACACGCTAGGGTGAAGCTGAAATAGTCTCTCAAGGCTATCAGCATAGTTATGAAAAATAATGATGCCAGCTATGAGCACTTGCGGACTCATTTCAAGTTACCTTCATAAAATTATGAATAATGTAATACGAAAATAGAAATTTAATGAAATGATTCATAATTATTATTTTTGTGGAACTTTGTTAGGTATAGTAAAAGAGGGTAGGTAACATTATTTGTTATTTTGCTACAATCTGTTCGACAGCTAAGTATATGCAGACGATCGGTGTAACGACAAGTTTTTATTTTTTTTATTTTTTTATTGCTTAGATGTGTGGACGAGCTCACAGCCCACCTGGTGTTAAGTGGTTACTGGAGCCCATAGACATCTACAACGTAAATGCGCCACACACCTTGAGATATAGTTCTAAGGTCTCAGTATAGTCACAACGGCTGCCCCACCCTTCAAACCGAAACGCATTACTGCTTCACGGCAGAAATAGGCGGGGCGGTGGTACCTACCCGTGCGGACTCATAAGAGGTCCTACCACCAGTAATTACGCAAATTATAATTTTTGCGGGTTTGATTTTTATTGCACGATGTTATTCCTTCACCGTGGAAGTCAATCGTGAACATATGTTGAGTACGTATTTCATTAGAAAAATTGGTACCCGCCAGCGAGATTCGAACACCAGTGCATCGCTCGATACGAATGCACCGGACGTCTTATCTTTTAGGCCACGACGTCTTCATAAAAAGTTAAAATTAGTCTCACTTGTTCTACAATGCCAATAGAAAGTATAATTTAATTAGTTTGATTTAAGTGTCAATTTAATGTACAAAAATACGATTACCAGACTTATGGTATATGTCTGCGACCGTCTCCAATTAGTCGCGGACTGCAGTCGGTCGATTCTGACCTATATACACCAAGACTGGAACACTAAGATTCCACTCGTTGGTAGTACCGAACTAGAGATTTGAATGCGTCATCAACGCTCACAGTATTGTACGTGGCATCCGCATATTTCTTAATGGCATTAAGCCAAAAAATACTTGCAACTACTGGAATTTATGATATTTGATGTGAGAGGTCTAATTGCGTTGAGCGCGAAGAGGCCGGTCTTTGATTAATTAAAAATGGTTTCATAAATAAATTCATTTGAAAAGATTCAGTCTTAGACGCTGCTTTATAAATGGTGTCCTGAAAATAGCTAATATAAGTAGTCGTAAATTCAGTTCTGGACTATTATGATTTTTAATCATAATATTAACGTAACATGCTCTATATATAGAAATTTTCCAGTATATTAACAATTTATTGACATTGTTAAAAACGTGGTGTAAAGCTATACTGATAAAAATACTTATAAGGTAAAGTTTTTTTGTTTTTTTTTTTGTTGCTTAGATGGATGGACGAGCTCACCACAACCCACCTTGTGTTAAGTGGTTACTGGAGCCCATAGACATCTACAACGTAAATGCGCCACCCACCTTGAGATATAAGTTCTAAGATCTCAGTATAGTTACAACGGCTGCCCAAGCCTTCAGACCGAAACGCATTACTGCTTCACGGCAAAAATAGGCAGGGCGGTGGTACTTACCCGCGCGGACTCACAAGAGGTCCTACCAGTAATGTTTTGGGTGAGCGAAGGCATTAAATTTTTTAACTTTTAATTGTATCTTCGGTAATCAACAGACAGTGTCCTCTCTCAGGCATCTGCAATACCATTAAAAATGCTTATGAACCTCGTGTATATCTAGTCAAATGTCGAAAGCTTATTGAAATAAATTCAATTTAAATTCACGTATTTATTGTTCTCACAAAACGCACAAGGCTGAACGCGAACACAAGCACATAAACACACGA